CGTGGAGTTTCAATAATGACTGCCGATTGAACAGGAAACCGCATCTGACATACAGCAGAACGGCCTCTTTGTACCGGAATATGTTGCCCATGTCAATATCGACTACAACCCTCTTCCCGTTCTTGTAAACCGCGTCCCCCGTCATTCGAGGGACTGTTTTGCCAGATGCAATCACTAGTCCTCCCCCCTTCTTCCTTTATCACCCCAGAATTCGGACATTCAAGACTTGATCCGGGTCCAGGGAGGCTTTCATTTGATCTAACTCGATCAACCAATGCTCGAAGGTGCAATCCCCGGGATCTCCCACTCCCTCGCTCTATGTCCACTTCGGTCCCGGCAGAAGACCCGCTGGAGACTTCTGGAAACGTCAGACGGCCCGGACAGTCAGAGCTCCCTCAACCGGTAACAGCGGTGGAGTCTTCGACTGTATTGGTGCCTACTGGAATATCCGCTGGAGTGACGGGACAGGCCCGCCCTCCAAGAACACCTACAACAACGATCCACGAGCCAACATACTACCGAGTGATCTCTGGTCCCGGGAATGATGTAGCGCGACACCCGTTTCCAGTCAGCGACAGTTTTTCTTCGCGCTTACCAACGTCACTCAGCGTCCCGGTAACATCACAGCCTTCTGTGCCGACCTTTTCGCAATCCACCTTTGGAACGTCGCCACCTGGGGCTGCTGGCCGGTCACTACCACAGAAACCGACAAGACGTACGAAGGCTCATGTGGCATCTGCGTGTGTGAACTGTAAGAAGAAGCATCTAGGCTGTGACCCTGCCCGACCTTGTCGGAGGTGTGTTTTGTCAGGGAAAGAAGTAAGTTTTGCCATCTACTTTCGTGAAGTCTTGGGGCCCTGTTCCTTTGCATTGCAATCCGCAGGGGCCAAGGCAGTGATAGAGGAGAGAAGACCCTGTTACTAAGCGTTCAATAGGCAACATGCGTCGATGTTACGCACAAAAAGCGGGGAAGACCGCCCTTGAAAGCCGAAGACGCGTCCCTCAGAACGTATGCATCACAGACAGATAATTCAGGAACATCCGGAGAGCAGCATGCGGCTCAGCCACGACGCCCCATGCATAGGGCTACATCGTCCCGTGAGCTCAGACCCATGACAGACTTACAGGCACCCAGCGGACCCCCGGGGCCCTACGGGATAAGGGTCTCTCCAGGGCAGCCAACAAGATGGCCAGGTGCTGTGTATTCACAGGCTATTGATCCATCGCTATCGATGCAGCGTAACATAGGTCATCGGCGATTCTCCTCCTCAAGCTCAGTACAATCTATGGCAACAGTGTCCCCTGGCAGTTTTGTGGCAATTGGGGGATACAGCCCGGTTATGGCTGCGTCCCATATGCCTATGGGGGTTGGGAGACCGCTGTCGTCATATGGAAACCAAGTGGTACACCCTAACTCTTCCCCACCACAATACTATCAGCCGTACGGTGTTTCCTATTCGCCATATGCACCCAATGCTAGGGTGGTCAATCGGATGCCCATGGGCGAGCAATCAGTGCCAAGGGATCCCCGGGAAAACCTGGTAGAGTCCTCAGTTAGGCTTCCCCCTATATATCCTCCCACAATGGGAAACCCCCAGCCTGGCCCACAAACACATCGGCTGAGCGATCCATATCCAGCGAATTGGTCACCTCGCACTCGAGAGGAACTGATGCAGCAGGAGCCACGGCAAGTGCCATCACACGGCCAGAGCACCATTGAACCTATCTCGCCGAGTAGCCAGATGCGTCAAGCAGCATCGGACTTCAGTTTTGGGAACCAGATTCCCCGACATCTGGCACCAGTTCCTCCGATGCAAGAGCAGCCGCCACAGGAGTCTCCTGTACATGCTCGAGATGACCAGCAAGGTGCTGGAGCCGAGACTGATGATTCAAGGCCCGCCAAGAGACGGAAGATGGCCTTGGACGATATGGTCAACGGTTGAATACTTACCTCAATCCATGAAAACAAAAAGGAAAAAAAAAGGCAAAGAAAAGAAAAAGAAAAAAAAGAAAGGTCCATGACCGGAGCTAGCATATCCATTCTTTTCTTCTTTCAAGGGCCGGATGGCCCATTCTGGTTCTTGATACCTGTAGCCGGACCTACAACAGTTGATGACTTTCATGTACATTTCCTTTGTGATAAGTTTTTGCTTACCTTATGCTTACATCCGATATCTAGCGGTCTGTCGTTTTCCATATCCACTTTTCTCGCCTCATTTCCTTTGTTGTGCATTTGATACAGATCCGATCTTTGTCATTGCTGTGTTATGTGGTCCATTTAAGCACTATTTCCTTTGTTTGACCTTGTGAATTGCATAAGCCTTGGATGTTTGGGTGAACTGGGCTTGTTTCATACAATGCATGGCGCGGGGCGCGTATCCTTGGAAGATACATTAATGGTCTTGAGCATTGGATTCAGCGTCATAGACGGCGTTTTGTTTTGGAGTCGGGGGCATCACCAAGGTTGCTGCTTCATTCGTTGCATATTAAAAAGGGGCATTGTATCTTCTTTAGTCTTTCTTTCCTGTCTGGTTTTATTTTGAAGGGCCTTTTCATATGCTGGCTCTGTGTCATATAGATAGCTCATACAAATTGTGGATATGTGTGTACCATGGGAGTCGCAAGACGGTGCAAATTACAAGACATATAATTCATTCAACTTCTCAAACATTTCTAGTCGTTTTCAAGGAGCTCAATCGGGTATGCTTTTTCATCTTCAATCAAAATATGTAGTCACCGAGGAAATAGTCGTTACTTGCTTTTAACAATATAACCAATACGCAGCCCTTGATATAGATCTCCTGGACCAATTGTAACAGGAATGTTGATTTCCATGTAAAAGTTCAAGTTGCGACGACGGCGGACTTCCAGATACAGTTAGGGCTATTCAACGTTGCACTGGCCGAGGCATAACGTGAACCACGCGACGATCTACAGTCTCCACGACCATCGCTTGCACATCCGATGTTACATACTGTTAGTGGGGCATCTTGGTAAATAAGAATAGAGAAGAAAAGAAAGCTCCCCACCATGCCCGCCTACTAAAATGAATGAGGCTCCTACAACCGTACCCCAGTAAGACAAGCAGAACAAGTGGAGCCCCAAGGCCACAAGGCCCATGTCTCTGTTCCATTATATATAGTAATAAAAACACCATGTCCCAAGTATTTCGGAGTCGCCTAATATCCCAAGTCCAGTCCCAACTCCCTACTCAACAACCAATATACCCCTCCACAGGGAATTCATACGATAGCCAAACTCCCCCCCCGTAGGTATACAGCGTCCTCAGCCACAACCCCAACTCAACACCCTCACTCCTTACACCCCATTCCAGGCTCCTAGACTACATAGAAATACACCACCCCCCACACACTCAAGCCTAACATCCCAATTATTTCTAAATCTACAAATCCACTTCCACATCTCCCAAGCCTTATGGCCTGTCGCCATCTTTCTTAACCCATCCATTGACAAATTGGAATATCCCAAAATGGTACGGGAAACTTTCGGGTAAATACTCTTATCCGAAACTCTCTCTGGGGATGGCAGATGCTTAGACCGGAGGTGATGGTGAAGAGCTATGCGGATACGTTTTGGGGGGGGGGGGGTTCGATGGCGACTCTGTCCAGGTCGAGGTTACGTATGGGAATTTCTAGAGTAAATAGGATGGGCTGATATGCGTCAGGAATGGGATTGTAGGAGAACGGAAATGGTCCTAGAATAGACGAGTGGGATTTGGAGGGTTCTCCGGGAGGAAAGTATCTTTCTTATCTGTAGTTTGTGGCTGGCTGTAGCTTGATGAGCATGCTGGAAGGGAGACTGAACGGCTTGCCAAGAGGAATAATGGATGAGACTCCAGCAAAATGCAGTTCGGTAATGAGTTGTGGATATGGTAGATGGGAGGACGACATCACGTACTTGCGTCCTGTCACTTCGATGCGGGAGGAAGATTGCCTCGCAGGTTTGGGATATTCGAAGCCCGCTCTGCATTGCTACACCAGGAAAACACGCCGCAGGTTCAAACCATTCAGAACCCTGGTTAAGCCTGGAGTTCTGGATCCTTGGAGTAAGGGAAACATGTATATCGACAAGGATGTGCTATATACACTGGTAGGTATGATTGGTCATACCACGGGCGTCACCCGACAGACAAAGACTTCGAATCCTGGTATAAGAAATGGGCTGAACCGGGCTTCAGTAAGCATTGCCTGCCGGCTGAGGCTGGTACACTGGCCATAACTGACAGAAGATCGTGTCATAGCCTGTTCTGTGTTCTCGGGGGTAAAGCATCAAGTATATGCCGACACAGATGAATGATTGACATCGTGCTCCTTATTGAAATCATACATAATGCCTCCGCAGCGGAAAACCGACTTCTATATGGTTAATTCAGTATCCTTTCCCGGTCTGTTTCTGGTGGATGTGAGTAATGCACGTTAGTCTTTCTGATAATCCTTCCACCCCATTTCCCATGCCGTGGAAAAGTAACCGTGGCGCAACTTTGAAAGGTTGCATATAAGAACCACAAACTTGGCGTATACGCGTAGGTCATCGTCGAGTAGCAATGGTGGAAGTACGGTGCGAAGCCCGGCGCGCCAGCAACTGACAAACAGACGATGCTATCTAGCGGCCGTACTTCCTTTGTCCTTGGAGGCTGTTTAATTACGATTACGACAAAGAAGCTATTGGAATACCCCCCTGGCACTTTCAACAGTTCTCACCCTCTGGTTATACCTTGTCTTTTCATCCTTACATGAAGAAGTTAGATTGAAAAGCAGCAGCTTCAGATTACCGGTCAAATTACTAGGCTGAAAGTTTAACCGCTTCTCGATTCCCCTCATATATAGAAGATTACAAGAAGACTGAGTAGGAAAAGGCATGGCCACGTTGTTGGTTCAACAAGCTCCGTCCAACACCGAACGACACGTTATCACAACTTTGTAAGAAAAAGTTCACATCTCAAACTATACTTCACCATTAAGACAACAACCTTCAAAAACATGCCCGTTATGCCTGCACCACGACCATTCATCCTATTCTTCAATCCAGTCAGACATGCAATACCGTTCTATCAACAGCTACAAAAGGTAGCGCGAACCGAGGTTATCACAAGCAAGAGTAGAGACGAGTTCTACTCTGATCTCCAAAGAAAATACAAGGATATCTCAATCATCTACAGAACATCAGCGAGCGGCGCAGTAAGTACTCCCACAAATCCGCTCCTTTCACACACACACACACACACACTAAGGACCCAACAGGTAGCTGGCAACTTCGACGCAGACTTGATCCAGCATCTACCTCCTAGCTGTAAGCATATCTGCCACAACGGTGCCGGCTATGACCAGATCGACGTGACCGCATGTGCAAAACGCGGAATCACCGTGACCTACGCACCGGACCCCGTTACCAAAGCGACAGCAGACCTTTCCATCTGGCTGATGCTGGGTGCTCTGCGACAACTGAATCCATCTCTCAACTCCCTGCGGGCTGGGAAGTTCAAAACAGGGCTTGACTTCGGCCACGACCCCCAAGGCAAAGTCCTGGGTATCCTCGGCATGGGCCGTATCGGACGCGCTATCAAGAAGCGGGCCGAGCCGTTTGGTCTGATCACCAAGTACCATAACCGCAAGCCTCTCTCCTCCGATCAGGCTGCCGGGGCTGCGTATGTCTCTTTTGAAAAGTTGCTGGCTGAGAGTGACATTATTAGCATTAATGTTCCTCTTAACGCGCAGACTAAAGGGCTCATTGGGGAGAAAGAAATCTCTCAGATGAAGAACGGGGTTGTCATTGTGAATACCGCTCGTGGCGCAATTATAGATGAGGCTGCGATGGCAAAGGCGCTGGATTCGGGAAAGATTGCTTCTGTGGGCCTAGATGTATATGAGAATGAACCGCGCGTGAATGAGCGGTTGCTGCAGAATGAGCGCGCCTTGATGGTGCCCCATCTTGGAACTCATACCGTTGAGACGCTGGCGAAAATGGAAACGTGGGCAATGGAGAATGCGAGAAGAGCGGCGCTGGGGAAAAGATTACTCTCGCCTATTCCAGAGCATATTGCTTTGCAGTGATTCGTGACTATATTTGTGTCAATTGATTGAGTCCTAGATCCAATACTTGAGATCTTTATTAGTGACACTATCCACTAGTATCTTATTAGCGCAGTAGGTTAAACGTACTACTATCGCTGATATCTTTCCAGGGTTATAGATAAAGTGAGTAGAATTCGTTGCGTATACATCGTTATTCGTAACACAATTATCTGTTACGGTTTGTATGTACAGAAATCATTAAAGAAACATATTATAAGAACAACCACATGCCCACCTGCTTAATCCTCCCCAGGACGCTCTTATCCTCTGGGTCCCACGAAAAGAATTTCTTTTTGCGAGACCCATCTGGTGCATTATCATCGTGGATATTTGGTGAACCTTCATTTGGATCATTCACGTCGACTCCGGTGCTGTGAATAAGGTTGTATCGATCTGTGATCAGGTCCATCTCGCCGCGATGAACAAACCGTGTCCGTTTGAACAACTTCCAGGCGAGGAACATCACAATCATGACAGGAATTTCAATGTAGTAGGAAACAAAGTCGACTCCCTTGAAGTGTGGACTGAAGCATTTCCAGCCTTGTACGAGGATGAGAACACTGTTGAGGCCGATGGCGATGATAGGTCCAACTGGGTATGTCCAGTTCTTGTAAGGGAGGAGATGTTCAAGGCCTTGGTGGCGAATAGCAGATCTGAAACGGAGAGATGCTACTCCAATGCAGACCCATGAGATTTGGTTAGAAACTCCAACAATGCTGCATGGGGGTTAGCTTAGACTTCACAGAAACATAATCATCTATGGTTGGGACTGCTGATAGTGGACTCACTTTTGTAACCACGACCATAACTGGCCAGCTCCGATGTAACTGGCACCAAAGCATAAACCACTGATCACAGATGTCGCCAGGACAGCAACCCAGGGGATCTGAAAACGATTCAGATGGCCAAAAAATCGGGGCGCATATCCATCAACAGCCAAGGTATAAAGTAGTCTGGATCCAGCAAACAAAGCATGATTCGCTGCGGAAATAACGCTAGTCATAAGCACCGCATTAATGAAACTGCCTGCAACAGCGCTGCCGGCCTGTTGGAAGACGAGGGTGAAGGGGCTGGTAGCCGTGTCTCCGTTGGACAGGCCAGGGTAGTTGTATGGCACATTGAGACCAATGATGATGATAGACACAATGTAGAATAATATGATACGCCAGAAGACGTTGCGGACCACCTTGGGCATGTTCTTCGCTGGGTCCTTGGTTTCACCAGCTGTAACTGCAATAGACTCGGTGCCACCACTGATCTTGTCAGCATATTCTTTCTCAGGGATAATAAATATAACCTACAAAGCAAATGAAGCCGTGACGAAGACGGATGCGAAACCACCAATACCGCCAACAAAGGGTGCATCATCGACGTGGAAATATTTGCCTCCGATATATGTGTGTTCAGTGTTGCCGCCACAGTTGACTACAATGCCCAGAATAATGAAGATCTGGACATGGTTAGCATCGTGTTTGTAGAATCAGAGGGAAGAGATATATAGAAACATACTATGATAGTCACAACCTTTAGTAGACTGAGCCAGTACTCGATCTGCAATGTATCCAAGATCAGCAACTGCAGGTAGAGAGTAATGGACTCCAGAATGCATGTAACCTACCTCTCCATAAACCTTGACGGAGAACATATTCAAACCAATGACAACAACCAGGAATATCAAACTAATTGCCCATCCAGGGAAATTATCCGTCCAGTACTGTAGCAGTAGTTGCAGAGCAATAACATCAGACGCAGTGGAAACCGCATCATTGAACCAGTAATTCCAAGTAAGGGCGAACCCTAACGCGTCGTCGACAAACCGACTGAAAGTAGTCAGTACTCATGGAACATCTATCACATAATGTGGAATGACCCACCCAGCAAAAGTACAAAAGGATCCCGCCACAGGGATGAAAGAAGCCATTTCACCCAAAGAAAGCATTGTCACAAAGACAATACCACCGCAAATGGCGTAGGCGATAAGCATAGATGCTGGACCACCAGTGGCCAGAGCTTTACCCGTTCCTAAAAATAAACCAGTTCCGATAGTACCACCGATAGCAATCATCTGAACTTGACGTGCAGAAAGATTACGGGCGAGTTTATCCGCATTGACATATGGAATGTTGCCGTCGACGGGATCTGTTACCAATCCCGGGGCCTTCTGACCCGCATCTTCTTGAGGAGCCCTACCGGGCCCCTTCTCGATATCATGGACCGCCATCATGCGCAAATGATCTGGCGATGGTCCCAACGTGGATCACTAACAGAGCACTTGATATACCAAGTCCCTCAGCTGACCACAACCAGGGTCAGGGGATCCTGATGGAGAAGGTGAATATACCGTCAAAGCCAGACAATGGCACTAACATGGATGCCACGTTAGCATGATAAACTAGCAGAGCACCTGCATAACAACTAAAATCGACCTACCTGAACGCCGACTTATCAGCTCCTCAGTGATAGCCCTATAAAATTTCCCAATTAGGAAAGCGACCCGCCGGATTCCACGTGCTGGCGAAGAAACGCGCAAAACTGCGAAGAGGAGGTGTCAAATCAGATATTAACTCTGCGGGGGTGGAGGAGACCAAAAGCTTCTTAAACCCAGAAGACTCGATTGTGCCATCTCAGGGGAGTCAAGGCGAATGCAGGTCTTGTAACCTCGCAAAAACTTAGCGGATGACGTGCTCAAAAAAAATTACGTACAACTTTGAACCTGGCGGATTTTGTTGCAGTTACATCGCGGGGAGAAGGCTGGCGTAACTGCCGACCACGCTTTCCATCTGTGGCTAGTGGATCTCCACACTTGACATCTGCAGTTCGAGATTGAGTTTTGGCTATAAATCTTGTATTTGTTATCGACTTTTAGCCTATCGACTATATACACACGTAGAAACTTCTTATCATGGACAAGCTTTTGATACTCCGCTAGTAGAACAAATAAAAAACACTGAAAAGGATATATCCATTGGCAATAAAAACAGCCTCCCAGGTTACACATCTCCTTAGCCAAGTAATCCAGTGGCCAAAGATTCCAAATCCTCCAAAGTCTGGATTTGCTCGGGGGCCTTTGCGGTCGGTTTCTTGCTCTTCTTGTACCAGGGTTCTTCTGTGCTCTCGTCGGGCTCTGCAATGCGGACCTTCTGCTTCTTGCTGGGGCGAGGTGTGTCGTCCTCCCGGTCCGACGCAGAAAACTCGTCGTCCTCCTTGTATGGAGCCAGCTGCGCCACCACTTCCTCGGCCTCCTCCTCGGCAAGCAACTCGCGCTCCCGAGCCTTGCGTTTCTCTTTCTTCTCCCGCTTTTTCTGTTTGGCCACCTCTTTGTCCTCCACATCGGCCGTGCGTGTCCGTTCGGTTTCCTCTGCCAAGAACCGGGCTTGCTGTTCCTTGGCATCTCCACGGGCCTTGAAGTCTTCCTCGTCCTCCATCTCGTACAATTCGTGCGCGTTGCCCTCGTCGTCGTACACAAGTTTCGTCCCCTTTCCTTTGAACTTGAGCAGTTTCTTCTTCGACTTGAGTAGCTTCTCCCGACGTTTCGAATCGATGACCAATGTATCTTTGCCATCGAGCTGTACCACTTTAACATCCTTTTGTTCCGACTCCTCTTCAGAGGTACCACCCAGCTCCTCATCTCCAGCGTCGAAGCGACGTTTAACAGACAGGAAGTCATCATCCTCGTCCGCATCATCGGCAGCACTTGCGGTCTTACTGGGATCAACCAAAGTGCCGTCATCGTTGATAAGTTTCGAATAGTGGTCGGCCAAGACGTCTTGGTTTCGCCTCTCGAACATACGGTCATACTTGGTCCGGACTTGTTTTTCATCCTTCTTGGTCTTCTTCTCGCCGTCCTCATCAGAATCATCACTCGACATGTAGGCCGTAGCCCGTGATGCATTTTTGCGCTCCTTAGTGTCGTCTCCCTTGATGAACTTGATACGGGGAGCACCTGGAAGACCAAGACTGGAAGCAAAGTCATCCAACTTGAGCTCCTTAAGTTTGAAAACCTCCTTATCCTTCTGGACATAAACTGATTTAACGTAGGAAATAAATGCCTTTTGTCCCAGGTACTTAAGTTCCGGGTCTTTGAAGCACATATTTTGCAACTGGTCCTTGACACTTTGCTGCTTGTTGGCCTTGATATTGATGCGTTCGACAGGAACCTTCTTTTGCTCGAGACGCTTCAACATTCCTGATTCCTCACTAGGATCCAAAAACAACACCGCACGACCATCACGTTCATATCGGGCTGTCCGCCCAACTCGATGAATGTAAGTGTCGGCATCTTCAGGGCAGTCCATTTGAATGACCCAGTCAACGGCGGGGAAATCTAAGCCACGAGCAGTAATATCGGTGGAAAATAGGACTGCATGCTTTGCTTGTGAGAATTTTGCTGTGATATCCAGCCGTCCGCCCTGCTTCTGCCGGCCATGAAGATGCATCAACGGGATACCAGGTTGTAGATGGCGGAAGGATTCGTAAACGAATCGTACCTGTTTTCCGGAAGACAGGAATACAATCGTTTTGGCCTTCAAGTTACTCCGGATAAAACTCCACAGGGTATCAAGCTTCTGCGATAATGGCGTAACGACGTAGTGTTGCTGAAGTGTAGATGGAGTTGCGGAAGATGCTGCCTCGTGAACAGCTACGTACTCGGGATCCTGTAAGCTCAACCGGGCAAGATCTGACACCTTCTTCGTTTGAGTAGCGCTGAATAATAATGTCTGACGCTCCTTGGGTAGATGGCCAACAATGGCGTCCACAGTTTTCTGGAAACCCATGTCCAAGATACGATCCGCTTCGTCCAAGACCAGCATTTGAAGGTTGAACACATCGAACAGAGCCGTTTGGTCCAAATGCTGCAGCATACGACCCGGTGTACAAACTAGGATATTCATTCTTCCCAGTCTTTCCTGCTCCTCCTTCAAGCTCTTCCCTCCAATAATCAAGCCGGCAGAGAATGTATGATAGCGACCAATTTTTCGAAGAACCTCAAAGATCTGAATGGCGAGTTCACGAGTAGGGGATAAAATAAGAGCGCCCAATCCGTCATGCTCAGACCATTGCTTGCGGTACAAGTTCTCGAGAACCGGGATGAGAAAAGCCAGTGTCTTGCCGCTACCGGTCTTTGCGGCACCCAAAATATCCCGACCCTTCAACGCATGGCCAATAGCACGAGACTGAATATCAGTGAGGGTTTTAAAATGCGACGAAGCTAGCCCAGAGGCAGTCGGTTCAGACAGAGGGAGATCGGAAAAGGATTTGTATGTTTCCTTGATATCGAGATCCTCAACCCGCTGGGTAAGAGTCGACAAATCATCCTGCGCACGCTTGCGCTTCAGGGGATGACGCTGGGAGGGTTTCATATTCTTGCCGTTACGGGGACCGTTTGAAGGAGCCATGGTAAGCTCGCCTGCTAGGTCGTTGAAATGTTTGTGGATTTCGTAACAGTCTTCTTGATTTTTCTGAGCGCTTTTCGGAATGCGAAAGAAATCGCGGGCGGTGTGATGATTACTTTTTTCTGCCGGTCAGTATTCTGCTGAGTCAGCTTGCGATAAGACGAAGGGCTTATCGATGGCTATGGAGACATGCGACCATTTCTATTCTCCATGCGGAGCTTTTATTAGTAGCATACAAATCCATTATTACTTTTCCCTACCCATTTTCAACACCGGGATTGAGGCCGTTCCATTTACGCGTCAACAAGGATGTCTTCCGATGAGCAAGATGCCTTGGATGCCCTGGAAAGGGAAGCGTCCGACTTTGTCAAGGTAACCAAAGCTCCAAACAATGTGCTCAGAATTCACCCAGCTGACTCTAAGGCAGGACGCCGAGATTGATCGCATTAAGAAGGCATTTGCACTAGACGCGTAAGCTTAGCGCTGTTTGGCTGTCTGTACTATGTTTAAGACTAATAGTGATGGTTCTTAATAGATACGCCGTCCTCGATCTCCAGCCAGGAGTTACTGAATCCGATATCAAAGTACAATATCGCAAAAAGTCTCTACTTATCCATCCTGATAAGACAAAGAATCCAGCTGCGCCAGATGCGTTCGATCGTCTTAAAAAAGCCCACTCTACACTAATGGAGGAGAAGTCGCGCACGTACCTCGATGAATGTATCGCAGATGCGCGACGGCTGTTGATTCGTGAACACAAGTACACATTGGATTCGCCTGAATTAAAGACAGAAGAGTTCAAGAAGGAATGGCGTCAGAAGACAGTGCATGTGTTGCTAGAAGAGGAGGCGCGCCGGCGAAGACAAGCCAAGGCTAAGTTACAAGAGGAAGGCCGTGAGAGGCGGAAAGAAGAGGAGGAAATTGAAGAACGAAAGCGGAAGCGAGACCAGGACAAGGCATGGGAGGACAGTCGTGACGAGCGTATCAGCAGCTGGCGAGATTGGCAGAAAGGAAAGAAGAGTGAAGGAGACAAGAAGAAGAAGAAGAAATTGAAAGTCCTGGGCTGATTTGCAGGATTCGATCACTTTTCATAGACCCCTCCATCACAGTGACACAGGTCGAAGGCATCATAGCATTTGAAATCTTTATTGTTGTGTCTTAATGGAAAGCATTGTCACCAGGCTTGTAAGATTTCTACAAGCAACTTGCGCCTCTGCATTTAGACTTAGACCGAGTTGGATTCGACTGTGACACCGATGACTTGGCATCGTCCCCCGCCTGAATGGACACATTGGCTTCTTCTTCTGCACATTTGGATTGATGCATCTATTTCAGTGCGCGATGGTGAAGGTTTCTATAGGAAAGGGGCAACCAGGAGGCCTAAAATTCACCTAACTTGTCAAAATGGCGAACATAGCGCAGCTCCCACCGGAATTATTTTGCCCGGTGCTTGACCTTGCCTTCGAGAATCAAAGTGACATTCAATTGTTCTGCAGTCTCTCTCTTCTTAGTCGCCAGTGGTCCGAGGCCCTAGTTCCTCGTATATATGCTGAATGGGCATACAATGGTGCGAGGCAGTCATTCAGGTCTCTTTGGAATTTCCTCAGAACTATCCTCAACGATTCCCGTCTAGCAGTCTTGGTTCACTCCTTACATATAGGTAACTGGGGTTACTATCCACATGCACGCTCAGGTGAGTGGGAAGAGCTAAATCTTCCACGGGAGGAGATCACCCTTATCCGCGAAGCTATCAATAGGGTTGGAATCAAACACCTAGAATCAAATATCATCAAAGATATACGAAAGCGTGACCGTCGACCGCTGATGGCGCTTCTTCTAACATGTCTCCCCAACCTCACGAGAATATACGCACACGTGCCGCAGTCCGACCCCGTTCTCAGCGCAGCTCTCATGCAGATATTAGATTGCCAGGGTGGCAACAATTCATCAACACTTCTTAGCAAGCTGAGCGAACTCTATATATTTGGCGAAGTGGACATTCCTACCCGTCCTCGTGAATCATGACCTCCTTCCAAGAGCCGATCAAACCCTATTGCGCCTAGATAACCTGTGGCCCGCATTTCATTTGACAGGTCTTCGGACTCTCTCACTTTATGGCCTAGATATAGCAAATGCAGCGCGTCGACTTGGAGCCAGTCCTGCTATGTCTCGGCTGAAACACTTATCCATAACCGGCGGCTTCAATTCCAGCTGCACGTATTCGGATCTCCGGGCTCTGCTCACTTTACCGGAAGCATTAACCAGCTTCTCATTATACGTACAAGATTATGCGTTTGGTTCAATTGGAGATGATATGATATCAAATGCGGGCCTCTGGAATGTCCTAGAAAAGCACCAGAACAGCCTTGAATACCTCGACATTTATCGTGATGCAGAGCACACGAGGCTTTTCATGAGTCAACGCCATTTTGGTCTGCTCCGTTCATTTTCATGCTTGAAAAAGCTTTGTATTCAAGCAGAAGTCTTACTTGGTAGCTTCTGGGACCAGCCGAACGCCCCTTACCGCTTGAAAGACCGTTTGCCATGCAATCTCCAGTCTCTCACCCTCTATGGCGGTAAAAGATTCTTCCACATTAGCAGTATACGCGTGCACCTGCAAGAAGCACTGGACAGCGGGGTATTCTCGTCCCTAACTTCGGTTGAACTAGAGGGTTTCTATGTAGATTCTGACATCTCGGAAGTGTGCCGTCAAAACGGTGTTAACCTCTCAGTGGGACGAGGCTGTCGACATGTAGCCCTTCCAAGAGATTGCCAACTTCGGAAGGAAGGAAGCTGGCCGCAGTTCTTGCAAACAACATACCACATGCGAATGGATGGCCAAAGACGAGCGGTGATGTTTGCTTTCTTCTCCGAGGAATGTCGAGATCGTCGTGAGATTCTGCTACCCCTAGATGACAGCATGGACAGCTACAAGAAATTCGCTGCAAAAGAAGAAGACCTGGATCAATGTGCCGGTGACTTGAAACTTCGTATGTTGGACTTCTGGGTGCACAATGGAGGCACAGCGTATATGGTCTTTCAAAACTTTGGACATTCCTCGCTGCCACCGCTTTTTTCCTTTGCCATATATTTTACGCATGCCCACGTGTCGCGCGAAAAGGTAGACCATCGGGCTTTATACCATGCTCTTTGTGATTCGTACAACAACTACGATGTCCGATTCGATCTCTACTTCGTCCCCGGTCTAGGTGAAGAAGGTTGTATAGCTCATTACCGCCAGGAGCTACGCTTTCGTGGGGATTATAAGAAGCAACTCAAGGCATATAAGGAGAGTAGTCGTTACGACGTTTCGCCAGGGGTTGGAGCTCTACCCACTATGGTACATGACTATTCTGATACTTCTTTTTACCGAGGGTTGCTGTTTATATGTAATGAACCAGAATGGAATGGCGATCAGAAAACCTTGCGGTCTGTGCAATTTGACCCTGTCCGACAGGCAGAAGATGGTACAGGGTCATCGGATGAAGGAAATGCCCGCCTTCATTATATCCAGAGACATCCAATTAATGACAGCAGCCGCTGGTATGAGGGTTATGATGGCGAATGCCCGATTGACCGATGGATATCCGATATAGCATGCTGGCATAGGGAGGAGTTGAGGGGACCCTGGCTGAAAGCAACACGAAGAGGCTGGCAGAGCTGGCGATAGTGAGTCGGTATTTCCTTACATCAATGAATGTAAGAGGTAGTTTGATTTGGTCATCAACTCAGAATGGTTTATATTTCATGATTCACTCTGCGCAGATCAGACAGTATGTATGGCATCTTCGGCCCTCAACTTCTCATATACTGCCTTTCCTGTCGTATCTACCAGCATATGTTTTCCAAGCATCTATTACAGTTTTTCAAATCACTTCACCATACTATAGGATAAACCAGAAAATATGCCATACACGATATAATATAACAAACTAACGGATCAAGAACGATCCTCACTCCAACCAAAATCATGCTTGACTGTAATAGACATATGAGCAGAGTCATTCATATGTTTAACGCTATCCGTATCCCTCTTATACGAGTTGGGCTCACTGTGAGCCGAAACGCTCGTCGGTATTATCTCGTCCTCCCGACACAATTGGGCATTCCGACTGCCCTCATGCGCGTCTAGCTGTCGGAACGAACGTCTTTTACTCTGCAATATATCTCGGCATTTCCTTCTAGAAGCTGATAGCGAAAAACTGCCGAATAGTCCTTCGGCCGTGGACCCGAGAACAAGCTTCGTGGTTCTTCGGACCAGCACGTTAAGCGTGGGCAGACATGCATAAACAATGCCGATGCAGGGCTCAATGGTAGACCATAAGTATACGTCGCCCATGACCCAGTTGATGTCGTGGTTCGTCGCGAGTAAAGTCAAGTAATAAATACGAACCATACTTCCGATAGAGATACTATACATAACGATTAGCTCGTGTCATGGTAGCAAAGGTGTATGGGTCACTCCGAGAAGCCACCTAAGAGGAAGATACCACAGATCAGCATCTTCTGCACCGGGCGAATTTGGAGTCTAGAGATAATCGGAATCGGAACAAGCAATGTGGCAACATCTGTGAAGACATTTATTGCCGCGTTGCCAAGGTAGAATGCATACAGATTAATGATGCACTTTCCTCCCGACGGATCAGCAAACTGCGTATAGAAGTATGACAGCGGCTTGCAAGAGCAGGAGAAGGCAATCATGCAGCAAGCGCCATGACCGATACTGAGGGCCAGGCAGACCCACATCATCCAGTTCACTCCAAAGATTCGACGATAGAGGAGGATAATCGAAACTTTGATGGATGGAAGTAGAACTAGATAGATGAAGATATAAGCGAACAGAATCTTGCGCTGTCAGTCTCCAACCCAAGTAGTGTGTCCAAAATGTCCCGATGTATGCTGTACCTTTCGCATCTTCACTGCATCTTCAAGCGTTCCTCTCCACACATGCTTGCCGAGGCCGCAGTATCCCGCTGAAGGTCGACAAACAATCAGCTCCTCCAAACTTGACTTGTAAGAGATTTAGTAAAAGTCTTTACCCAGTATAGTTGCAGCGAGAAGTGTAGTTAACGGGACCTGTGCTGAATCTATAAGCAAGAAGTTCTTTGTGCCGTGATTGAGATGTTAAGCATAAGGAGGCTACTTACAAGAGACGCTGCAATCAACCAGTCGTCAATCCCTAATTTAATCTTTTGGACTTTAATCCCCGTATCAAATCGAAGTATTACAGAGACAGCGGCGATGGTATATAGGGCAATAACAGTTGCATTTATCTGGGGAGTCTGGTTGTCGCTTAGGTCGATACCAGGCGGTTGCGGCCCGAAGATATCTGTGAACGTTACCATGCTCGCAAAGTCCAGCTCATTCACGGAATATAGTGCCGAAGTTGACGCAATTAGGAAGAACTGACAAGTAGCAAACTAGCATGAGGGTGAACTCTAACAATATCCATAGTGAAGAACACCAGAATTGGATGCGAGACGACGAGATAAGATTGAGCCTGATTGAAGACCAGATATGCACGGGTAACAAAGTACGACTAATGGATCATTCGCTATTTTTAATATCACATATATAGCTCATTTGGTCTCCAATAGCACATTCCTATAGAACCGCGTAGTAATATAGATTAATATACAGACCTACTTGGTGAAGTGGGCCTGCTGATGAAGACCCCTGGTATAAGAACCCATTTGACTGGGCCTGGTGTGTTTGTCACTATGTCTGCATATACAGAGGGCATTTTTCAGCAATCTGATGATTCAGCCAAGGCCAATACTAGCCCTGGATTGATTAAGTACGTGCTTTTGTCAAGAGCCTACACCATTTACCTACATCTCGTCGGCTCAAGGGCCAACTGTCCAACGCACGCACATAGCGCACTTGCATACAATTTGTAAGTCAGCAGAGCAAGACGATCACAAATCAATGGCCTCAGACAGCGTTGAATTAGTGCTCAAACTGGTGGCCTGGTGGCTAAATTGGAAATGTCTGTGTATTAGGTACCATATAAGCTTAGTAACGAGTAAGCACTTGGGGTGGCCCTTTAAGTTGGTCAGCGGCGTTGCCAAAGCACGGCTCGCCTGGCCGCTCCGTAACAGGAGGGCTAGGAAGGTCAGAGATTGGCGCGAACCCCTACCCTAAGGAGGAGCTAATATGCGTACTGCTGCACGGAGTTGCTACTAAATAGGATAGTCAATACTGATCTACTTTTAGCTCTTATTTGAGACTCTGTGGCTTATTCCAGCACAGCACTTTAAATGTGTCAGCATGACTTAAGTGCACGCTATAAAATTTCCTCGTAGCCAGAGATAGTATATATTTGGTTTAAGCCTGATCCAGCCAAAGTGCAAATGCCATAGATAACATTAACCATTGTTAGTACCACTACTCGACAAATGGATTGAAGCATTCTAATTAGGGCTTGCATAGTAACGTTAGCAATTGTTCGCATGGTTCAATACATTTAATAAACTTTGTTCGCTCTTTGAATTCCCATTACCTCATTTCCAATGTCCAGAGGTATATCCAAGGCGATGCCCCCTCTCTATGAAGCAAGGTGGAATGCGAACTAATCTATAACGCCCCTTCTCAAGCCAGCAAACGTTAGCCCAGGAATGCCTATTTTATACAATCAGTACAGTCTACGTAAATTACATTAGTCGCTCATGGATGTCGTCCTCAAGATCGTCCGGTGGAGAGCTATTCTCATTTTCTGCCGCTTTGTCTGGAATTTCTTCCGATCTCCATTGAAGTCGTTTCCTGGGCTATTTTGTGCCAGATTCACCGAAAGGGGACGCATTCGAGTTTGATGCTACTGTTCTTGTTGCTGCTATGTCTGCTCAGAGATTCTTATATATGCACGAGCTGGGGAGACCACTTGGATGTACTCGGATAGGACAAGCTATTTTCTTTCTACGTATTCCGACGGATCCTACCAGAAATTAGGGATGAGCTCGTCACGCTCCTGGAGCGTTTTGTTCATCTTATTGCTTCTCACGCAGCCATTGATCTTCAAGAGACGCCCAAGGCACGCTTATTCACTGAAAATCAGGAACATACTAAGTGCGACATAAGTTTCAAACAATACTTCACAAACTTTGCGAGGCTGCCCCGGATGTCGCACGAGCCATTGTAGGAACCATTCAAGGGAGAAACAAGCCGGTCAACGCGAACGCAGGCGTCCACGAGCCCTTTCTCATCAGCATCATTCTGAACCTGTCAGCCTTGCTTGCTGCGATTCTCTCAATCCCGCTTATGCACGTTACAGGACGGCGGACGCTCCTCCTAACCTGCGTCGCCGGGTTCGTGGTCGGCCCTTCATCTTCTCGTCTGTGGGGACAGCGCACCCGCAAATATACATTTTTCAGTTTACAATCTCACTCGTCGTCGCCTCGACAGTGATTTCCGAAACGGCCTGGAGTGACACCGTCATGTGGACCGCTATGTTGCCCTACCTAATTAATCCGAACGCCGCGAACCTCAAGGCGAAGATTGGGTTTATGTATGGTGGGTTTGGGGTGCGTCTTTTGGGCCTTTGTCTTTTACCGTGTTCCGGAGTATCTGGGTCGGGCGTTGGAGGAGACTGATGAGATGATTTTGAAGGGGATGTCTGCGAGGGGTTCCAAGGGATTTGTTTGCACGGGGTCACTAGTCTTCCTGCGGAGGACCAGCGGCCTGGAGATATCGACTGTGCCTCACGTGCGCCTCAGGCTCCACATCCACAGAGGCTAGAGGCATCACACTCGGTTGTCCTCAGCGCAGTACATACAGGGTCTAACAGCATTGCACAACCACACTTAGGTCTCCATGCTTCTTATTCCATGCAATACGAACCATTCGGTTGAGGTCGTTCCTAACAAGTGTGCGAATCTTCCGCTATGTCGACTCGACTGCTTGTCAGACTGTCATCACTCATCAAGCGCTTCCTCCTCAACAATTATCCTTCGAGTCCGCCTGGACATCTTGTCGGCCCAGCAGTAGCCTGACCACCGCTTCATGTCCACCTTCAGTCGCACAGGATAATGGTGTCCGACCCCAGTTAGCCTTAGAGTCCACCTGAACATCTTGTTGGTCCAGCAGTAACCTGACCACTGCTTCATGTCCGCGCCACGCCGCATATAACAATGGTGTCCGACCCGAGTTATCCTTCGAGTCTGCCTCAACATCTTGTCGGTCCAGCAGTAGCCTAACCACCGTTTCATATCCACCTCCAGCTGCATAGGATAATGGTGTCAACCCGTCATTATCCTTTGAGTCTGCCTCAACATTTTGGTCCAGCAATAACCTGACCACTGCTTCATTACCACCTCCAGCTGCATAAGATAACGGCGTCCGACCACAATTATCCTTCGGGTCTGGCCTGATACTGTAGTTTCCGAGCAGTAGCTTCATCAATTCGCCGTCCATCGCGAGTAGATGTAGGATCGTCCTCCCTCCTTCGTCCTGAAGCGTGGTATGCTGAAAACTTAGGACGCATGCGAGCCCAGGAGCCGCATATAACAGAGACAGCAGGTCAGCAGGTGCAAGATATTCGGCGGCAAGCAGGATAAGCTCGATAGGGAGCTGGGCTCCTATCCTAGACGCCCTCATGATGTCGCTTTCACGGAGATACGGAAACAGTAAATATAATTCATATGCCCAACTAGTCCTTCGCTGCAACCAAATTGACTATCTGGATTCCGGTGACGTAGGATGCTTCTGGATGATGGTTGGAGATGAAATTTGAGTGGTGAGTTCTCGCAATGCCAACTACACGGCTGCACATGTCTCACTCCGGTGGCTTGTTCCCCGCGCAGGAACAGAAGCCCTTCTGCCTAAGGCATCAAGAGCCCGTATGTGGTACATTAGTAATTAAGAAGCCGCGTCACCTTGCTCGCGACAAATTTGGCGGTTTTCGCGTCGTACTTAACAAAATATGCTTAAAACCGACGCTCTGTTCCGCGTTGAGTTCCTGGGAAATTGCCGCGACATCAGCAGGCGGTCAAGGATCGCCACATTAGTCAGGGAGCTTAGGGTAATCGACCCAAAGGACATGCAGACGTGCTTCAAGGCCATTTGAAAACATCGGCTGAATACATCGTTCAGCGTGGTCTGTACTATTATTTTAGAATCTCTTTATTTCCCAAAATTATTAATCTTCAAAACGAGCTTTGATTGTATTCTTTTTATAACATCCCAAGTCCAGTTATTTCTCTTCTTTTTCTTCTTCTTGTTTTCATCATGTTGGTCAAATCGGAGAAGTATAATATTCTGATATCTCAGATAAACAAAGCAATTTTGCTTTTACTGTTTGAATATCTCTTAAACTGTATTAATCTGGTATTTGAAAACGTTAGGTGAGTCTATTTCTAGTGTCACTGGCTTGTACCGTTGAGTAGAAGCTTAGTCGCCAGTGGTATTGCAAAGAGCTCGGAAAGTTCAAATAGAGTCCTGGGTTGCCCCCCGAAGAAGATATAAATAGCTGGATTAACCCCCGGATATATGTGCTTAAACAAAGACGTTTTAGAAGGACTACCAGTTAGCTATCACTATCCTCAACCAGCTCGTCAAGCGTGGTGTCGATATAGTCTCTCTGCTCTCTCAAGAAATTCTTCATCGCCGCAGTATCAAATATCAGCTGAGCGCGCTCGCGCTCGCGGACCTTCCTTAGTTGGTGCCTTATGCGCTCTTCCAAATTCTCTAATCGATATTCACTGTATTGCTTATAGATTTCTGGCAGATGGCTTATCGGACGAAAGCCCACCAGCACTGTCTCATCTTTGACTAAAGCTGATTTTGGCCGAAACGACGTGACCATTGTGATTCGCTCGGCCCCCCCGTGTGCCTTGAGAGCCTGGTGTTCGATATACCGTCCTTGCATCACAACCGAGCACCCCTATGACATGAAAAATCTCGTGAGCTTGCATTCTGTTATCTGTCGCACGGTTTTTGCATACCTTCGTGGGTCCGCGCACCTTCATCACCTCGTCTGTGTCTAATCGGACGGCAGTCTCTCCACCTACCATCCCTGTACAGTCAGACAGCATCGTGACGCATACAAAAGGCACACTGTCAAAATGCCAGGAGAAGGCAGAATCGTCTTCATCTGGTGTGGAATCCGTCTGCGCATCGCTCGACGCGTTGCTTCCGGAATTAACAGAAACATTAGTATGTCCAACTTCATACTCGAAGACCGGAACGACCCCAATTCCCAATAAACTTGACATGATTTCGAGCACTTCTGGGCTATTCCAGACCGCATGTATGAATGGTGCTCTCCTGGCATAATCAATCCATTACTACTGGGATCCGATGGGTTGAAATACAACGAAAGCCAAACGAAAGAAACTTACTGTGGGCCAAATCCCTTGAGCATATTCGATGCAAAGTCAGAGCAAACGTGGTAGTTTTCCAAGATCTCTGGATCAAAGAGCTCCGCCCGCATCTGATTGATGGCTTCTTCGGTGAATAAGCTAAAGGGTGTTGTGAGCGCAGTGGCAGAGATGCCACGGCCTTCCAGCCCAATATCCTTCATGCTGTACACCTTCTCGGGGTTTGCATAATTCAGATGTTTCGTCGGATCGAAAGTGGTTCTCTCGATTCGCCGTGCCGTGTCAGCCAACGACTGGGGCAGCTGCTTGGTAGCTTTGGTCCGCTTCATTTGCAGGGGGCCTACAACCTTTGGCGGAGAGATTGCAACAGCCATGATTTTTGGAAAGCCGTAGCACAGACAAGATGCTCACTTGGTAGTACTCTGAGTAGACTTCACGTTTAGCACCTGAGATTGTTGATTTATCCCGGAGAACCTGAAATCTTCTCTTGATTTCTTTATACCTCGACGCGGCCGGCAATTTCTAGAGTAAATCGTTTGCCTAAACAGTATATAGTCCCCCGTGTAAGTGGAGACTATCTTGGCGATTTGGGTGGAAGCTGTCTTGCGTAAGGTAAGGGTTGCCCGAAGACAAGAGCCATGATAAGAAATCGGGAAGGCAAATGCCGACTCAGTGTCCCACCCCGCAGCGATACCATAAATCGTCCGCAAGAAGTAGTAATCTGCTAAGACAGATAATTGATTCTTTGTGGTAACCACTTCCCGGGCCGCTACAACGCTTCTTAGATTATCGACAATCGCACTGCATTCTCCGATCTTTTGTGAAGTGGAATAAATGAGCTCTTCTGGCATATATACTATCCTCGATTTTTCTTCTCTTCTGCCATTTTCTTGTCTACTAGTTCCCTGAAGTAAAGAACAGAAGTGTCCCCAAGCAAGATGTTTGACGTTGTTATCATCGGAGCTGGATTGTCTGGCTTGCAAGCTGCATACTCCGCCAAGAACGCTGGACTGAAAGTCGTCGTTGTCGAAGCACGCAATCGCGTTGGTGGAAAGGTTTGGACGGTGCCTCTCGCCTCAGGGCGAGGATATGCGGACCTTGGGGCTGCCTGGATCAATGATGAATTACAAAAGCGGGTCACGGCGTATGCTAGACAATTCGGCCTGAAGACAACGAAGCAGCGACTGGAAGGCAAGGCAGTCATGCAGCTCTCTGGAGATGAGCGGTTCGAGTTTCCATTCGGGATTACACCTGAGGTTGGTACAGTGCCTTTGGAGATGCTAGGAAGAATCTTGGATTCAAGGGAAACTAACTAATAATGAACGCCGAGCCAGTTTTCGCCAGAAGAAACCAAGAATTTAGAATATATCCGCGATCATATTCAAGCCAAGTCCCTGCGAAGCGAGCCACCTCTCCCAGAGGATGACAGTGTTACAATCGAGCAATATCTTCTCAAACTCGGCGCCGGGCCCAAAACACTGGCGATGGTGAACGTATGGGCAAAGGCTATGCACGGCCTGGAAATTGATCAATACTCCGCTGCATGGTTTATTGATTACTGCCGGACCAATTGTGGTCTCCTCTCGGTGCGTGCGGACGACCACACGGGTGGAAACTACATGCGTTTCGAAAAAGGTGAATGAAGTTGTCAAGAACCACGCGCTTTTCCGGTTAATTAACTTTCATCTTGTCCCCAGGTGCCCAACAACTACCAAATGGTCTGGCCAAACTAATTGGCGAGGAAGACATTCGTCTGAATGAACCCATCGCGTCAATCCAGGATCACCAAGATCATGTTACGGTGACCACAACCACTGGCAATACCTACACTGCACGCAAATGCATTCTCTCAATCCCTAGCACCTTGTATAAGGATATAAATATCTTCCCCAAACTTCCTCTTCCCGTACAGGATGTCACGAATAACACCGTCTTGGGCCACTACAACAAGTCAATTGTCTGCTACAACACGCCTTGGTGGAGAAAGAAAGAGTTCAATGGATTTTTCGTCAGCTACGGTGGAGGGCCAGTTGCCATTGCTCGCGATAGCAGTGTTGACGAGATTGGCTATTATTCGCTTACTTGCTTTGTCAATGGCCGTCCTGGGGAGAAATGGGGAAACTCGTATCCACATGAACGTCGCGCGGCGGTTTTGAATCAGCTTGCGGCCATCTTCAACGCAGAACCAGATTCGGAGCTTTGGAGACCTCTTGAGATCTTTGAGCAAGTGTGGCAGCACGAACGGTACAGCAAGGGTGCATTGGCCCCCGTCCACGCCTTAGGGCACTATACAAAATATGCCGCATTCTACGGCAAGCCTGTTGGGAACCTTCACTTTGTGGGTACGGAATACTCAAGGGAGTGGAAAGGGTACATGGAAGGCGCTCTTTGCTCCGGTGAGATTGGAGCGCAGGAGGTCATTGACACTCTCAAGCAAGGACCAACAGCCAAGTTGTGAGATGTTACAGCGACAACTGCCCAGTTTCCGATATGCGATGTCTTATTATGAGCAACCAAGAAAGCCCCAACAAAGACACAGAATAGGTATATCGTACTGCTTGAAAAGAGCTCTGTTTGGTGCTCCTAAATGGTTCGTTGAATCTCCTATTACTAGCTCGTTTCTAGACTTTTATAAGTAACCCAACTTGACGTATCACAACAACTGTATCTAAGAATTGCACATTACGTCTCGCCGAACTTCCTCCAACAAAGTTCCATTCATCACAAAGACTGACTATTCGTACACTAAGCTTAATATCATGAATAAGGAGTAAGTACAGTCAACGGGGTCAGACTACAATATTTGGTTTGCAAGTGAAGTAGATGAACTCCGACACCTCGGAAAATGTAAACCCAAATCATCAGCTTCGAGACACTTGGCACACGGAAATCGATTACGCTTTCGAGCATGAGTAATTCGCGTTGAGCTCCTTATTCCGGATATGTCTCTGGATGAATTGCTCACGAACTGTAAACCCCAGCTGGGCAATCACGACGTCGATCCGATATCTTACATTCATTTAAAGCCCGTTATGATAACGTCGGAATTTTCTGGGTTTCCCGTCTCGATGAAAGATGGCCACGGGCATTAATAGACTGTAACAACGCAGTACATTCGATATGACCTAAATTACCATATAAATACTATGACAAACTTGGTGGCTCTTTCAGTTGACAGGACCATTCGTACTATTAGTTCCTAGGAATTGACACGAGACGGGGTTGGTTCCCGACGAGTTGACCTTCCTAATGTTGGAGCGTTGGCTCCGTTATTCAGTCCCCTCCGATAGTTTCATTTTGGCCCGACCCCTCTTACTGTCTGGACTCGTTATGGATATGTGCGAGAGAGACTATCTTGTCAAATACAATAGGCATGCTTATATGAACGAATTTCACAAGTGGTAGACTTTTGCAACCGGAAAGTTCTTACGTGGCACTCACCTCACCAATCCTCGTTTCTCTGCTCTCACCAACACCGTTTTACGAGCAGTTCTCACTCAAGTCACTGCTCAATCTCAATATGCCCGAGTTGAATCGGGCTCTGCTCGTCGGAAGTGGGGGCGTGGGAACGATGGTTGCTTTCAATATTGAGGCCAGCGGCCTTGGACGTGTGGCTGCTGTTCTTAGGTCGAACTATACCAAGGTACTACAAGAGGGATTTGAGATCGATTCCTGTGAGCACGGGTCGATCAAAGGCTGGCGCCCCAGCGAAGGTGAGCATACTTACAGCCTTTACTGCCCTGTCTTTGTACTCGAACTCGTTAATGGGAATGTTTGTCCATTAGTTTTAAAAGAAATACCGACCACCAGTGATATTCCCTGGGACTACATTATCGTAGTGACCAAAAATGTGCCGGATATTCCACCAACAGTCACGGACATGATAGCTCCCGCTGTGACGCCCGGGCATACAGCCATTCTATTAATCCAAAATGGCTTAAATATCGAAAGGCCAATTCTCGAGCGCTTCCCAAACAACGTCTGCCTATCCGGCATCAGCATGATCGGGTCCCAGGAAGAATCTCCTGGTGTAATCAAACACTATGACGTCGATCTCCTGATTCTCGGCGCGTTCCGCAACCCCAATATAAGTCGCGATGGGGAAGTGGCCTCCGCCAAACGATTTGCGGGAATGTATACTGCCCAGTGCGAGACACGGTGTCGATTTGTGGAAGACGTACAGAACTCTCGGTGGGAAAAGCTTGTCTACAATGCATGCTGGAATTCCATCTGTGCCCTCACGGACATGGATACAGGCCGGATCAGGCTCACGGATCATGCGGTCCAGACTCTGGTCAGGCCAGCAATGGAGGAAATACGGGCCGCTGCAAGGGTACATGGTGTAAATCTGCCGGCGGAATTGTGTGATAGAATGCTCGAGCTCGACCCTTTGACGATGTATTACCAGCCAAGTATGTTGGTTGATATGCGCAAGGTATTTCCGCTGCTGGTGCTCTGCAGAAGTCCTGGGCCTTATCGATGAGGTACACATGCTAACAGATACGCAGGGTAAGTTTATCGAGGTAGAAAATATCATTGGCGAGCCTTTGGCAGCTGGAACCGCGCGTGGAGTGCCCATGCCTACATTGAACGTGCTTTACAACCTGTTGAAGGCGAAGCAATGGGCAACCAAGGAAAAACTCGGGATGCTTGAAATTCCCCCAGGAGGCGATTATTTGACACAGCGGTCCTTCCCCAAACAAAAGGCGCACACAAGGCCGGTAGAAGAGTCAAGTCTCTAGAAGAGTATCATGGCATCTTAATTTTGCAAACATTGTTTTTGACGGGCACAACAGCACCGGTTCCTTAGCAAATGAATATTGTACTTCCGGTTTAAAAAGAATCAACAAATACATAGGCGAATAAAATTTTTTTCAAAAAGAATGAAGTTTTAATCCAGCAAATTAAGGTAGAGAGCTATTCCAGAATGTCTCGTTTTAGTCTAGGTAGACTTTTAAGCATAGATTCGAAGTCCAAGGTGATTTCAGATGTCACGAGACCTTTGCATGAATACCCTTCAACGTCGTTTCGCAGGTGGAAGGCAACTCCCGATGTGTACTGTCGGCGAATGCTTCCCGATTCACTACCGGCGGTCGCTTACCTAGACTTGCCAAGTAGGCTGGAGGTAGAACTTCGTCACTACGTCTCGCGGATATGACGATTTTAGTTATTTAATTCCTAATATCTCTTGTGAGGCTACTATTTTAGATCCGACTTTCACGCGAATAACTCATTATCAGCTGTACTAATCTATCGAGGGCGTCAATTCACTTGATCGTGAAAATGTCACAAACACTAATAGCTCCCTCGAGCATCGAGACGGTTCTGGCTGTCGAGCCAGAAGGGCAACAGGAAGCCAGTGCGGCACTGCAAGCTATTTCAAGAGGAGGCCCTACGTTGGGTGGGATTCCGTCATACACATCAGTTGAGGCGCAAAGACATGCGATGCTAGAACATATGGCTGGCGCATTTAGAGTCTTTGCCCGCCGAGGGTACGATGAAGGGTTGGCCGGCCACATTTCACTTCGAGACCCCGAGCATCCTAATGCTTTTTGGACCAATCCGTACGCCTTCTTAAGTCCCCATCTGATTATGGAAATACTAACGGGGCAATAGGTTCGGTCGTCATTTTGCACTCCTCAAAGCGCAAGATATGATACTGGTGAATGAGGCTGGGGAAGCGATTGGGGGTAACAATATGTATCCTGTCAACGCTGCTGGCTTCCTTATCCACTCTGCACTTCATAAGCGTCGACCGGATGTGAATGCAGCCTGTCACATGCATTCCACATACGGCCGAGCATGGTCAGTGTTTGGCAGGCGCCTGGATATGATAACGCAAGACTCTGCCACCTTCTTTGGCGATGCTCAAGCAGTATACGACGACTTTGGCGGCATTGTATTCAAGGATGAGGAGTCCGAGAAACTGGCACAAGCGCTAGGTCCCAAAGGTAAGGCGCTAATTCTAAGGAACCATGGGCTTCTGACCGTGGGGCGGACGGTTGATGAAGCAGCATTCTTGTTCACGCTTATGGAAAGATGTTGCCAAATCCAATTGCTGGTCGAGGCAGCCGAGGCAAATGGAACGCCAAAAAAGTTGATGAGTGAAGAAGCAGCCGAGTACACATTCCGCGCCTCTGATCCTGCCGTCCTGTACTATGAGTTCCAGCCAGAGTTGGAGCTCGAGATGGAGTTGAGCGGGGGTGCGTTCTCACTGTAAGGTGATCCAAAGGTTATTAAAGATATCGGGCTAGAAAGAGCCCAACGTCTCTCCTAAAATTGGGAATTATGGCCATGATTGTCTAGCCACATTGTACCCCGATAGTATTGCATTGCCATCCACACTCTTCGACCAATGTAACATGAGACAAATGAAGCAAATATACCTTGGGCAAACGAACATACATCTACTCTATTGTCGGTCACCATGTATTGATATAAACATGCAGGGAGGCGCATGAACGTTTTCGAATAAACCATCTTGATACCATTATAACAGTCCCTCAGGTCTCTCTGACCCTCAAAGATATCCTAGCTAAGTGTCAGTCTGGTCAATATGGCGTTATTCTTCAGCACTGTCGACCAACTGATATTACGATCGTTCTCGTGGTCCCGGGCCGACCAGACCAGTCTCAGCGCCTGTGCTGCATTTTCAAACATGCACATCCCGGTGCGGGTATTTTCTCCATTCAAAAGCTCTGCCACTTTCCTCCGAGTGTTGAAGTCCAGAGCTTCACAGCCTGCCAAAAATAATGGCCAACAGATATTTGATGATGGGTCATTTGACTTCCGCCTCGAATCCATGCAGCGTTGCAAAGACTCAATTGTGTTTTCAACAAGAGATTGTATCATCAATGAGTCGACTTTTCGGACAGAGCGGTAGAAATGAATGAGCAAAGCCGAGTGCATTGCCTCAATGAAATCCCACAGAGGAGGCTCAGAGGAGAGACTCCCAGCCCGTGAAGCTGCAGTACACATGTCGGGCACAAATGACCAATTAAAGCGCTCGCTCATCAATCCTTTTCCCTCGCAGCTGGAGAAGCTCTTCTTCCAATCCCATATATCGATCTCCAATTGGCTAACACGATCGTTCAGCGGTATATCGGAGGTATCTGTTAAGTGGCTTGCATGGCAATCAAGCCCCTCATTCTCACGTACTAGTCTCGTCGTGCGGGATATCAAATGGAATAGAGACGTCGGAAGCGAGAATATCTGCTCAAAGGTCGACTGGTTGTGGTTGGTATTGCGGGACGTTTGTGCCGACGTAGGAACATTTGTCGAAGCAAAAAAATCGTTCGTCGCGGGGATACTAGGCCCTCCCTGGAATTCTGGACTTATGCCCCTGGCATGGTCTTTTGCTGCAGTCTCGTCCGTAAGTATGTATAGCATAGGATCGAGCTTTTCCCCGCTATAAACTCCGACGCTATCCTGCAGAGTTCGAATATAGAAAACGATAGTTTGTAATATTCTCAGGCTTCCGGAAATGTGGCTCTGTCGGATGCTGGAGTCAATCCTCAAACCACTGATTTGTCGAAGGTAGACATATGCCTCATCAATATCGCCACCGACAACCTTTGGGGGACCAAGCAAAATTAGCAAAATAAAGTTAGATGCAGTTGGAAAGGGTGGAAGGGACGTACACAGAGAGTAAACATACTTGTCAACGCCAGGAGAATATCAACCATACTTTCACTTTGGTGGCCGGACGAGTGATCCTTCAACGCCAGTTCCAATCGTTCTTTTGCGAGGGCTCGATACTGTCCACCACATGTTCTCCATTTCTGTTCCGACGGAGACATATGTATGTGCGCATGGAAAGCGCTTGCACCTAAGACAGCGAATAGCAAGCTTGCCTTTGCATTTCCCACGTCTCCCCGAACCATGACCTCTCCGAGTGCTTCATGTACCTTTGGGATGTGCAGGAACTCCCAAGGTGACCGTTCATACTTTTGAGCTGGAAGGAAGCAAGGCACTAGAGTATTTCGGTAACAATCCAGTAGAACTCTGATAGAATGAAAATCCAGATCCGAAAAGTGAGAGGTAAATGCAATCGTGGGTGACGTGATACCAGAGGAGAGAAACCGATTTGAGGGTGGCATAGAGTAGTCTTCTGTGAGACGGGTACTGTCCTCAACGAGCGGCTCATCAACATCTTGTAACGAGGGTTGGTGATCGTCGGGTAGCAACGTCTCATATCCTTCTCGAGGGAAAATCTGATCCTGATCTTTCCACAGAAGGGCATCTAGAATGAAATCCGGATACGACTCGGTGGGAAGGTGCATTAATAAACTTTCTGTATCAATATCCGAAACTGTAAATGAGTCATGGAGTGGAGCGCTTTCAGGCTGAGTATTGATTCCACCTTGATCTATAGTGGGATCGCCTAGTGAGTGGCAACCGTCAACAACGCTGTTGCGCTCTCCGGTCACTCGCCTTTCCGCATCTCGGATCTGGAACACCCCAAAGGGGCCACGGCTGAAGGTTTCTCCATCCAGGCCATTGCTTTTAGAGTCTACCTGATCTAGAAGGTCATCCACGGAGGATACCGTTGTGGATGAAATAATTTGTGCAACGTGTCGAGCGCATTCGTCGCCTTCCATCGTGTATCAGAATGGGATCATATTGCAATTGCATACTAACGCAATTGGAAGAAATCCAGCTTACTTGACAACAAAGTCCCCCGCCTGGCGCTGGAACCGACTACACGGTCAAACGTTGGATCGGATCCGGTGTATCCATGACCTAATGATCTTTTAATTTGGGGGGGAAGCCATACAACTTCAGGGTTTTGTTTCGGGGACAAGCATGGACAGTCAAGTTTCACGCATGTAGAACACCGAGGAAGGAATCGATCGCACTTGGCCTTTAGTGGAAGCAAGTAAACTTCAGTTCAAAAAAGATGCAGGCTAATGGGATTACCTTTCGGGAACGACAGGTCATACATGACGTACGGCGAGACATAGCGACAAGTGCTCGATGCCTGGTGGCAGGTAGCAGGCAGCAGATGCGAGAGACCGTCCTGGCAATGCAGATAGACTCCGAGAGAGCAGTGACCCGGGGGAATAATGCCCCATGGAAATGAAACTGGAGGAGGATGAGGATTTGTATGTGGGGGCAATGGCCATTGTGCGGGGGTACCGACATCTATATCGGAACTGGCCTTCCACATCTGGCCCGACCCATAGAGCCGTCGGCTGTCCGAGCCGAGTTTGGGAGAGGGCTAGTAGTATGAATTTTCAAATATGATATTATTTGAGCGAGGCAAAGGCGGGAACATGATACATATATTGAGATAGACTACCCAGAGATCATCCTCCTCATTCTATTGATTCGCGATTATGTAGACTATCTAAGCCTACTCTATAAATAACGATATTTCTACCACTAAGCGGCCGGAATCTTCTCCCGCCTGTGTATCGAACTTCCCAACCTAGACGCTCATAGTACCACATCCAAGTGTCTCCAAAGATTTGAGATAATGTTACTTGAAGGTATTCCTCAGCACCAGACCACCCTCGTGACAGAGGCTTCGCTGAAAGATTGACAGGTAGATTGCAATACTCTGGGGATCTATTATTAATAAATCTCGACCACTACTCGGGACAACGCCGAGACTCTTCCGATAAGGTATCTCATAGATAGATCCAGTCGGGTTCGATACGTTTTGACTCGACTTCTCTCCCAATCTCGGGTAAGATAAATAATGGTCAATATACATGACCCTTCTCATGCCCTCTTCGGTGAACATGGATAGGGATATTCTCTGGCGTAATCGGTATCCCGATTCCGAATGAGGGTGGGAATTATATTCCGCGTCTCCTATAATACTAAGATGGGTAAGATGGTTGCGATGTATACTGTACTAGATAATTCGCTATATATAAAAATGTCAATTGCATAAGTTCACATATCTGAAGGACTCGCGGACCTGAGGGACCTAGTGCACGTAATGTAAATGAAAGAAAGCGTTGGGCTAACCTACGGCTGTTTACGCAAGAAGGACGTATGGATGAATAAAGCAAACAAAAACTAAAAATATACAACAGGAGGGATTCGCTGGTGGACCCACCTAAGCGGACGGGAAGTACTACCAGTACCCTTTCAGAATGCTCCTAATTGCCTCTTAACCTATTCTTCATATTAGGTTCTAGAGGTAAAAGTAGATGTCACATCAATAAGCAATTCGTTATTTTTTTTTATAAAAAAATAAAATAAAAAAGTTAAATGGCCGAACCAAGTCCGCCGAACAAATCCCGAACAGGCGGTACGGGGAACAATGCCATCATGTAGATAAGTGCTCACTAACTTGGAACCTCTTTGTCCTTTCCTCGATTTGCTTGTAGCCTTTCATCCCAAACAGGGTCTTACTCGCACATAACCACAACCTAGTCGAAGGACATCTTCATGCATAAAATTATGGAAATGCGATTGTCTAGAAAACGTTGCTATCAGGCAATGCACATGCGATAAGAAAGCGGTCAGCATGCGGGGCGCGGGGCGAGCGAACCGATTCGTTCGGCCCGACCAGGAGACCAGAAGATTCTCCAGAAGTGTCATCACCCTCGGTCTCGATTTCTTATCGCACGACATACGCGAGGGTCGACTCAATTGACCCCTGACCGAGTTTATACCGGGACCAGCAAGTGAAAGACTTATCCATTGCCATCTTTAAATACCGGCTAACATCGTTACGATTCGTTCGATTCGACTCTCTAGAATTCAACTTCCGCCTCATCTGTTAATTGTTCAAATTCCCCGGCCGCCCCTCAACTCACTCAACAGCCCACCATCACCCCACCACATATCATCAGTCCCTCCCACTCCATAAACAATAGAACATATACAAGAAGAATGACCGACACAGCCATTCAACCAGACCCGGCCCTAACTCAATTAAATGGAGGCACCTCGAACCTAAAAAACATGGCGCCCCATCTTCCCTCCCCACAAGCGCAATGCACTTCCACACCCTCCACACAACAGCCAACAACAACAACAACATCCTCCTCGCTCTCAGAAATTATCGCCCAATGCCACCACAAAGTGCACAGCTTCCTCGCCGAATCCCACCCCCCCGACTCCCTCCTTGCCGCCGTCCAACGCCAAACTCGTATCTCCCTCGATGTCGCCGCAACAGCCCTCTCTCGCTACAGCCTCCCAGAGCTCGCCCTCTCTTATAACGGCGGAAAAGACTGTCTGGTCCTCCTGGTGATCTTCCTCGCCAGTCTGCACCCGCATCCACCGCCCGAAAACGGCGGTCTTAAGTCCATTCCGGCGATATATGCTCTACCGCCGGATCCCTTCCCTACAGTCGAGGAGTTCGTCCAGTGGTCGTCGAACGCCTACCATCTTGATATTATAAAGTACACGACGGAGCCGCCGAAGACGACGATCAAGTCGAGTTTTGCGCACTACCTATCCCTCCATCCGAGTGTGAAGGCGATTTTCGTCGGCACTCGCCGGACGGACCCCCATGGCGCTAAGTTGACTCATTTCGATCGGACGGATAGTGGCTGGCCCGATTTTGTTCGTGTCCACCCAGTAATCGATTGGCACTATGCGGAGATCTGGGCTTTCATCCGTCAACTGGGTTTAGAATACTGCCCTCTCTACGACCAGGGATACACGAGTCTCGGCGGCCAGACGGATACTCACCCGAATCCCAAGCTTCGCGTCGACATTGCGGCAGATAACGAAGTCACTAAAAACTACCGACCAGCATATGAGTTGACTGAAGACCTGGAGGAGCGGCTGGGGCGCAATTAAGTCCCCTTGACCGCCGGCATGGAGTGTTACCAGGACTGTCAAACTGCTCACGCAGATATTCTTTGTTTCATCCGATGTTTGCATAGAGAGCGATCTGAGAAGATTGGATGACATTGCGTATTGGACCCCACTTTCTATCACCGCCCTCTTTCACGGCTTTCTCTTTTCCTCTTATATCTCTATGTATACGGTAGAAGAATAGATTTTATATATCGCTGTGGGCTGCTGTTTGCAACGTCGTGAGTACAAATTCCATTAAACATTTACCTAACCTTTATCATGTTGAACAAAGGGATGTGTCTCTAAGTCAGATACCACAAATAGCAATTCTCAACCATACCCATCGATCTCCTTTTTTATGGTCTTCATGTGCACGGGCCAAGTGTAAAGGATATAGATCTTAAAAGCCATGCTGTCGACCGCCATAGAACGGGCATGTTGTCAAAACAAATCAAGACCAGGTAGCAATTGGCAAAATCAAAAGACGACCGCAAGGCGGTGACAAAACAAACAAAATTGACAGAACTAACATGGGAAAACGTGCTTTTGTAAACATTGTAACTTATAGCATATGCTGGCATGTAGTCATGGAGCCGAATGTGGTGGTAAGACCGGAAGCAATCCATAAGTGACTCAGTGAACGGATCGCGGAGATTTAACAACGATCTCCCTGCGGGACGGAATAGGCGACAAAGACTCAGCCTTGATACTCTCCTTCCGGGGGCCGGTTGGCCCAGAATGGGATTCGGCACAAGGAGAGTTGGGCAAAGCAGTCCTAGACGAGACTGTCCTCGACGAACCGCCAGAGATTGAATCCATCCAGCCTACACGACTAATGGGAAGCCGTCCACGATAGACAGGCGTATGATCAAATGTCGCTGGGCTGTTCCCGGCAGACCAGGTGTTGAGGTGTACATTACTGGGCTGGTTCTTCACCACAGGATACCTGTTTGCTCATCAGCCGGGTTCATATCTTATATACACTTGTTGATACATACGGAGGAGAAATGGATGTCGCAGGAGTCCAGGTAGGGCCCATCCCCACGGGCGAGGGATAACTGACTTGGGAGCTGGGGCTGAGATGGGACGCAGTCTGTTGCAGACGATGCAAAGAAGGCGAGGGGGTTGAGCCTTGGACTACCTCAACTGAGTAATTATACTCCCCGGCTCGATAAGCCCGGCGCTCATTGCTTTGCTGTTTGAGCAGCTTCTGAGCTTTTGTGTCTGCAAAGCGAAGAAGTAACTTGGCGCCATCTTTTGCCACGGCATTGTGGAATTCGGCCAACACTTTCTCTGCAATCTCACGGGTCTCGAATCTGGGCAAGATGTTAGGATTCAAGAACATAATGGAATGGGCTGCAACACCTACCGGGCAAATCCAACTTCTTTACTCACGCCCGTCTTTTCATCGCGGCTAATCTTCTCGGACACGACACGGTAGGGCTCAAAATGACGACGAAGATCCTGAAGAGAAATTTTTGTCAGCCCGATAACGATGAAAAGATCAGTCGGCTCACTGCTTCAGTCCAGTCGTTCGGAATATTGGTGCAGTATATATTAGTGGATGTTTTGTCTTCCAGATCCTTGAGACGCGAGTTACGAGATTTCTTAGCCATATTAGCCATGATCGCCGTCCATTGAGCATCGCAAGTAGTGATTTACCTGAGCAAAGCTGGCTTGATAGCAAGATAGAAGAAACCCCGAATGCAATTCTCGCAGGATTCGAAGTTGTAATACTGCACAAAGCCAAAGCTACCGATTCCGTGAGTGATGAGGTGGGAATAATGGATACGTCACATACCCTTTGCAAAGACCCGTATCTAAATCCACGATTGCCTTGCAACGATCAATCTTTCCGAAGCGGGATGCATATGCGTACAGCATCTCATCGGTCGTCTCCGGCAGGAAGCCCCGGATGTAAACATTCGTGATACCCTCCCGGTTCTCGAGGCATTTAGCGAGTGTAAGATCGGACGGATTGGTCCACATTGCAGGCACTGCCCGCGGAATTGGGGGATCCTGCTGTGTCAGACTCTCCAAGTCTTGAAGAATGTAACCGTTAGGAGTCTTCATCATCTGAAATGGAAGGTTGAGGCTTTCGTTCTTCTGCTCCTCATTACAGTTCACCAGATAAGGAAGGGTCGGGTACGGAAGAACGTTTGGGTACATATATGGCACCTGAGGTATCTGCGGTATCTGGGGCATCTGATCCGGAAGAAAGACAAAAGGATATTTTGGACGCTGCGCCTGAAGGTTCAAAGCGCCGAGCAGGGGGGTCAAGACATCACCCGAGTGCTGAGGAGCCATGGTAGCGTTGTAGTAACTGACAACCTTCAACAGGAACTGAGCTGACGGCACACAGACTCTTTGGGGGATGTTCCGATGTATAGTTGTACGTGTTTGATAAACGACTAACAACGGGTCATTCGACAGCGCAGGGAACGAGGAGAACAGGAATCAGGTTAAGCAGCAAGGTAAGAGTGAAGAAGAGAAGGAAGAGATGGAGAAGATGAAGGAGGAACGAACAATGAGCGGGAAACTTCCTTCATGTTCTCACTCGCTATAAGGAAAGAGTATGGTGTCTTCCATACATGGCAGGCACCGCCGTGCTTGTTGGGGAAGGAACTTACAGTCAACACCAAAGTAGGTCGCAGCTTGAACGATACCCGAAAGCGTGACTTGACAGCCTATTGGAGTTGGCTGGACATACTTACCAGATACCCGATACTATTTACCAGGGTTCAAGTTGCAATGATAATACTGGAAGTTATAAATCAATTCAACGGTTGGTTAAATCTTTACTAGCTACTAGTACTATCGCGTCACATGGATGTACTTAGAGAGCAGGTGATATACAGTCGCCGACTGTATATCATTGGTGTTTTTGTTATGTATATGTACAGTATCGTTGTACAGCCCTGACAACTATAAACGGTAAGCGTCATTGTCAACATTCACCCGTGACATTTTCCACCACGGCAGTCTTTGGGTATGTTCACGGTTTCAACTGAAGAGTCCCCCTAACCTCTTTTGATTTGTTGTAGCAGTAGGACTTATAACAGAAGGACTTGTAATAGTAGGATTCATATAAGGCCGAGTGAGGTCTCCGAATGAGTCGCAGGCTCAGGGAGTAGCGAACTCCTTCGCATATGCATTTACTCAGCATTCTAGCTAGTCGATTATCTAGTTCGGTCCGTCGAGCAAATTCCTATCTAAGTGAGCTGTTCGCTGGCTCCTCGAACTGTTTGGGGGAACCATCGACTAGTTCGGATATGCGTCGAACCTGTTCGCGATACCAGCGAATCATGCGAAATCACACTCTAATATATGGATTATTACGTGAAGACGATGTACGCATTCTTTTTACAGTTTATTCTATTTATGTATGAATACTAGAGAGTATCGGGGAAACGAGCTAATTCGAGTCATGTTTGTCTGAAGACGTGAATAATCATCATGAAAAAGTTAGATTTCCAACTTGTACAAACTTCAGGAAAAGCCGACTATAACAAAATAGGATGAAACCCGAGAAAAAAGCGAAGGGTAAAATGAGTGATGAAATCGAAGGTTAGGAAAAGAAATCCATGGGAGGGAAGGTACGTCTATCCTGCACGTTGGCGTCAGTATACATCAACTTCGGTGTATAAACTATATGCAGCCTCAACAGGGTCTAAGTTATTAGTCTCCCTTACAGATCCGGCGCTTGCCCGCTAAACTCAAGGGCGTTAGGACTGTCTTTCACGTGAGAATATCGGCTCTCGGAGCTCCGCAGCCATTCCCGAAGAGGACTTCCCCGCATGGAGACGAACGGAGAGAGCGGAGAAGCTGGAGCGTCGAGAGCAAGTCAGACCACTTGGAGTTACCAAATCTTGTGCCTGAGAGGTTCCGATGCTCCCCTGGTGGGTGGATAGCTCGGGTAGCAACGGACAAAAATACCTCGTTTCCTTATTCCCGTCGAGTCCATCCACCCTCACGATTCTGACCTACCGTTGCAGCTGAAGCCAGCGTTTGAACTTTATTACCCGGCTTTGAAGGACATGGGTTGCACCGGAAGCCAAATATAATTATAGCTGTTCCCCCATTTCTTTCTCTCATCGTCTGCACGCCCGACGGAAAACACCCATACTTAATTTACCAGTCACCTGGTGCTCTGTCCAGTACACAGCCTTGAGTTGTCAAGATGAGCATGTCGCGTGCGCTATCCCTTCCTCTGCGGAGGGTGTCTGCCACTTCTCCTGTTCTACGTTTGTCGCCGTCAGCTTTCACAGCTACTAGAGCGTTCTCCAGTTCATTACGACGTGATGCTACATGGGGGTTTGTCGGGTTAGGCCAAATGGGTATGTTAATATTTTGTCTGGTTCAACTATAATCCCTATGCTTTCCCCGACCACCTAGAATGATCGACCTGTATACTGGGAGGCACTGGGCCACAGCTCCGATGTTTACTTAGCACTCCTTATCTCCTTACACCCGAACCCATTTTGAATAAACCATCTCGTTCTACTTCGCGCCTTTTACCTTTTCTAACCGCATGCACTACCGGGAACTAAACATCATTGTCTCCACAGGCTACGCCATGGCCAAGAACTTGCGCGCTAAGATCCCCGCATCTGACAAACTAATTATCCGCGACGTAAACGAAAATACCGCCAAAAGATTCGTCGAAGAGAACCAAGAAGCTGTCCGGAACAGTGGAGCTAAGGAAGACACCTCCAAGGTGCTTATCGCTCAAAACGCACGAGAAGTGGCGGAACAATCGGTAAGTTACGCGTTGTGTTTTATTTCCCCCCCACGGGAACAATTCATGCCACAAGGGTCTGCACAAACCTTGGTTAAAAGGAGTCACAATTATGGACTGGACAGTGCTATAAATCCACTCATGGACTCGAGTACTTGCATTGGCAAGAGGGACAAAAAAGAAGAAAAGAAAATGATTGGCATTATTTGCTTAGTTTCTCGTGGGGTTAAGAAAATGAAGTCACAAACTAAACTACCATCTCCAGACAGTGATAGTCACCAGCCTTCCGGAACCCGAACACGTCAAGGACGTCTTCTATTGTATGCTCCGCGATGGCGACCTCCCGGCCCTAGAAAAGGAGCGTTTGTTCATCGACACCTCCACAATCGACCCAGCTTCGTCCAAAGAAATTGCCAATGCTATCCACACAACACGCCAAGGGCGATTCGTCGACGCCCCGATGTCAGGCGGAGTGGTGGGGGCCCGCGCCGGCACGCTATCCTTTATGTTCGGGGCTTCATCGCAGACTGGAGAGCTCATTGATCGCGTACAGTCCGTTTTGATGCTCATGGGCAAGAAGGCATGGCACATGGGTAGTTCAGGAACAGGCGTTTCTGCCAAACTAGCCAACAACTATCTCCTGGCCATCAACAACATTGCTACCGCCGAAGTCATGAATCTGGGAATCCGTTGCGGGCTCGACCCCAAGGTTCTGGCCGATATGATCAATACGTCGACTGGTCGCTGCTGGCCGATGGAAATCAATAACCCTGTTCCGGGCGTGGTCGAGACCGCGCCAGCGTCGCGCGAATATGCCGGCGGGTTTGGCATAAGTTTAATGAATAAAGATCTTCGACTGGCTATTTCCGCTGCGGAGGAGTCCGGTACTCCTCTCGCCTTGGCCGATAAGGCCCGGGGGGTGTATAAAGCGGTGGAAGATGAGCATCGAGGTAAGGACTTCTCGGTGGTTTACAAATGGCTACAAGAGCAGTCGGCCACTCAATAGTAGCAAATTATGCTCGGATTGGTATCATTATTTCCTGGTTGATTTTCTTTTAGCGCTGCACTGTTTTGAGAACCCTACATAGTCTTCTGTTCTTTTTTTTCCCTCACTTTATATGCGATGATATATGCGGCAGAGCTAGAATTGCATTTGCGGGCAATTGGACAAATATAACGAGATTATAGGTGTATTCCTTTCGGGTTTGACCCAGATAATATACATAAGTCTAACTTCTACCGCAAGGAATAACTACTGGCCTGTATAAAACATCCCAGAGAGAAAAATCAATGACAAGCGGGTATGTAGTATATGTAATCTCCGAAATTGAATTGTGCAGAAACGCCCCCACATTGCACGGATTATCAGATTGAAGCAAAAAGTAACGTATGGCTGACAAGAAAAAAGGATGCTTATACAAACCAAGTATGCTCCGTAGGCGAAAATGCATTGCAAAGATGAATCGGATGCTTATTGACCCGGTGATGCCGGGTTGCTGACTGGACCCGTGAGATACTCTTGCGGCACTTTCGGCACACGGGGTGAACTTGCAGTCTGAGCCATAGCCCGGTGTTGAGCTCGGACAAGATCGCGCTGTCGCTCTTTATCTCGGTTATTCGCGGCGCCGCCAGTAAGCCGTCTCATACCACTGCGGATCATGGACTCAAGTGACGAGGACCCATCAGTTGCGCTACGTGTTTGGTTGAGTTGATGAGGTGCCAGTCTATTAGCTATGATACGCTCATCGAGATCATACATTCCTTCTTCCACCTCATCATCGGAGAGGAACGCAGATTCGTTGAAGCCAATAGGTGGACTGGCAAATTGGACACTGGATGACGTCGGGGAAAATAATTGATTGACAGGAGACGTGACAGAACGAGCGTGCGACACTGGGCGTAACGTTTGACTCGACGCCTGAGGTGTCAGTGCCACTGGTGAATGTACCCCAGGGCCGTCGAACCGGAAATTTGGGGGTCGAGATTCAGCGAGGCCGTTGTGGAAGGACGACGAGGAAGCTGTTCGGGCGAGAGACTTCCGTAAAATTGGGGCTGTTTGTTGATCATAAAGACTGGCGCTAGTGTCAACGTAGGCCCCTGTAAAGCCACGCAATGCCGAGTCTGGAATAGAGTCAATTGTCGGGTTACTTGTCTCGGTCTCCTCAAAAAAGTCGTCTAGGCTGTCCAGTTTCTGTACAATATCTCCAATATTGCCATCCGCCTGCGTGTCAATAGACTTCATCGTATCAGCCCGCATAGGGAAGAAGGAATCGTTGTATTCGTCCGCATGGAACTCTACTTCGGAGGGAGCGGTCTCTTGCACTTCTATGCGATCGACCTCAGCACAGGTGTAGAAGACAGCGTGGACGTTATGGCGGGTGATACTCGACTGGGTAGCAGGCATCGGGATGGACCATCCGCTGGGTTCTGGTATACCATACAGACTTTGAATACGCTCGTATTCTTTGCGGATAGCCCGAGATGAAGACGACGATGCCATACTCATCCGAAGGTGATGACGCTCCATAGGGTTTCCTGAGACAGTCATAATATGATCCATCACCTGCAG